GATTATTACTTACTGGACATGCGTAGACATAAAGGCTATTTTTAATTGTAGAAAATCACAATTTCAAGCCTTTTTTTGTTTATTTTTTTATTTTTTTAATAATTAAAACCCAGACTGTAGCTGTTTGTTCTTTTTTTTTATTTGAAAAGGACTAATAAAAAGCATGGAGAACTACTCTTAAAATGGTGAGAATTAAACTATTTATTGTGTTTTTTTGTTTTTGTTTTGGGTTTTTTCTGACACCTGTGGTATTTTTTTTTTTTTAAGTTGAAGTAAGTCTCCGCTGTGTAAATTTTCCTCCTTGTAACGCGTGAAAGAGACATACTGTACATAGCTCTGTAAATAAAACCCCCCAGGATGTTTTGCACCCTCCTCTTTGTACTAGTCTGAAAAAAAGTTGCATAGAATGTGGGGTTCTAACAGCGACGAGCCGTGTGCGCCCGCTGCAGGTGATTATGATGTAACAATGTAACTATTTTTTTTTATTTGTACAATGTAGTTTATTTGTGTACATATTGTCGGAGCAGCTAAAGGGGTTTTGGAGGGTTGGTCTACGAGGATGCTATCGTCAGTGCTGTAACAGAACTTTCAGTACTTTCACCTCCAGCTGTTGTTGATTTCCTGCAAAAAAAAAAAAACAAACAAAAAAGTTCAAGAAAAAAAAGGCAAAAAAAAATTTTAATGAGAGAAAATGAACGTGTGGGAAAGGGGGGAGGGGGGTTAAAACTGAAAAGTAAAAATTCTAAATTGTTATTTTCTACCGTTGCATGTACAGAGAGCGCGAGAACTGCTGTTGTTCCTCAGAGATTATGTTCGTTAATAAAATTTTTAAATATTAAGAGATGTGCTGTTTTTTTATTTTTGCTTTTATAATTATATTATTTTCTCATGATGAACTATATACTGTTAAATAGAAACACTTAAACCTTTTTCTACACAATTATAGGGACAATTATTCAAGTCTGTTCAGAAAATCAAAGTAGTTGGTAGGTGTGTGAGTTGCCAGTACATACACCTTTAAAAAAAAAAAATAATAATTGGAACGTTATTGATCTTACAATGGAGAAATGAACTCTGCATTTAACCCATTCCCTTGGGGAGCATTGGGCTGCCACTGCAGTGTGCAGGGACCAATCGGAGATTAAGGGTCTTGCTCAGAGAGGTAGTCTGTGGTAGTGGGTTTCAAATTCACAACTTCAGGATTCCAAGCCCTAACCACTAGGCCACCACTCTGTGTGTGTGTGTGTGTGTGTGTGTGTGTGTGTATATATATGTATATATATATACATATATATACACACACACACAAGTTGTGGGTAATTTCAAAAGGGGAAAATTCAGCTAACTTCATGTTTTTTTGTTTGAAATCTGGGAAATTTGGAGTTTGCTTTCGAGTTAAAGACTCAATGTTCTTTTAATGTTCAATTCTAACAACAACAAACTAAACTATAGATATGGTGTTATTACAGCATGTTATTTCATTCTGAAGTTTAAAGTTGACCTATAAGTTACCAGTAATCAGAAATTGTGGTCTAGTGCTTAGCGAGCACCGCATTTGCTACTTGGAGCAATCGCAGAGGTTGGTGATTCAAGACCTACTGTTTGGGTTGGGTAAAAATGTGCAATAAGCTCTAAATAAACGTATAATGTTTAAGTAAGAACTTAAGATTTGTAATTAAATCATGACATTATCTTAGTTACCACTACTTTCACATAAGTTGGAAAAAGATCATACAAGTTGCAATAAAACAGATTATAAAGTCCCAGATTAAAAGAAATTGTTGAATGGTGCTGCCTTAACATTTTGAGTTCTGACAACTTTTCTATTTCTATTTCTATTTCTATTCTATTTATTTCGTCCTTCTCACTGTCATTTCAGTGGGCCTTTCCATATCTGGCTGGGAGTTTAAACAAATGCATTTACAAGAGTAGTTTTCTTGGAGTGGTGCTTGTGCTCTTTGCTTGTCATCTCTGATTGCAACAATTAATTGATATTGCAGCCACAGCAACCATTTATTGAGTCATTGAGGACATCTAGTGAGTTTCTGTTGGTCTAAAGCGAGGATAAGGGGAGCCAGGAAAGCACCAATATAACGCTCTAGATTTAAGGAGGAAAGTAATCTGCTTCCCTTATGTAAAAACATCACAGACAGTCACAGTTGTGGTTAAAAAAGTGAGTTAGACTAACAGACTGATGTGTCACTGTCTCTCAGAGTGATCCATAAGCTCGTCTTCTGCAGTGTTTTCTATCTCAGTCAAAAATTATCCCAAACATTAAAGTTCTTGATGAAAAAAAAAAATCCATGTCAGCCTCAAACCTTTAGATTGGCCAACAATCATTGGAGGGATTTTAGGAAATCCAAGAGACGTCTTTCTGTTATTCAGCCCTTGGTAGGAAGTCTTTCACTTTCTGAAGGAATAAAAAACCCCATGGCCTCCATATCCGTCCCATGTTGTGTCTGTCCTGCAATCCTTATGTCAACTAGCCCTAAGTGATATAATTGTCATTATTACATGACTAATCTTAAGCAAACATGGCCAGTCAAATAATCGTAACACTGCACTAACAAAACAAAAAAAACTGCTTTGTCATTGTAGAACAACCTGTTTTGGATCCTGTCATGGCTCAGAGGAGCTTTCCCTGCAACTTGATCCAGTAATTTAATGCTCCGAGTCTCATGGTCACATGAAGCAAATGTGAGTCATCTGCTAAAAGGAAATTTATTAGTGTGAGGAATTTCTAAACATAGCCTACAGATGCTGCGTCAGACATATAGCTCTGAATACCATGCTCTCAGTTTCTCTTTTACTTAAACATTTTCATTATTTGCATTTTTTTTTTCTTAATACGGTTGGTTTCTTTGTTAAATTCAGCCTTTCAATATAAAAGCATTTTTATTTTAAGGTTAATTATTTTTTATTGTTCATGTACAAAATCCTTTAAATCTTTGAAAATGTCCCGTTATAATATTAAATCAGCCTTCCAGCTCTAAATGAGACATTTGGTCAAATAAGTTCTATTAAGATACATAAGTAAAAACATTAGTTTACTAGTCTACTGAGAAACTAAAGCAAATGCCATCTCACATCGGTTTTCATCTGCAGTTAGAGGAAATCCTGTTCAACACAAACCTATTAAATTAATTCAAATAGCATCAAGACGTATATTCACAATAGAGACAATTACATAGTGCATCAAAGTCAGTTCATCATGTGCTATTTACAAAACGTTAGCTCTCTCAGGAGACAGAGCCGATCACACTGATAATTTGAACAACAGCATTTCCTCATGCAGGACAAGCGTAGTAACAGTGGGAAGAAAGTTCAGACAGAAGCAGGCTGTGAATGACTGGTCTCCTCCTTTAGCAAAATGAGAGCTGAATGAACAGAAAGCAGATACAGTAGGAAAAAAAAGAAACACTTTTATTGGAAAGGAGATCAAAAGGCATTAATGGCTCTATTAGAATATAAGTTCACAGCAGAAATAGTTGATTTAGAGACGGAGACAGGCAGGGTGGAGCTTCCATGGAGCAAACAGAAAAAAAGGAAAGTAAAGTTAGTCTTTTTTTAGAAAATATAGATGTTTTGCTGTTGGAACAGTGTAGATTGACCCTGAGGTTCTGGTGCCTATCAACTTTCGGCCACCCCTCAGTGTATATTGGTTATTGTCTGGCCACCCTTGTAAAAAATGTCTGGCTGCGCCTCTGCGCAGTGATCAGCTTTAAGCAATAAAAGGACTGCTGACAGTGGTGGTTCCAGATGGAATTTACCGATGGGGCCAGTGTTTGTTCATGGGGGCCCAGAAGAAGACAAAAGAAAAATACAAAATTGAAAAATAAAAAATCAAGGCAAAAGCACATTGTTTAATATATTAGGTGAGTCACAAAGCCAAGTTTGCAGACACCTAACCTAACAGATAACTTATCGTAGTACAACTGAAGCTTAAAGCGTACTGTATTCTCTAAATGATTGAATAACTTGGAAGACTGAAATATTGAATTGTTCCAAGGAGCGAATCAGTTAGGGTGTCCTCTGTCAGCACATATCATCATATGAAATTGTTTAGTATTATACGGCCAAGAACTGATTTAAGAAAGTATGTAGGTGAAAATTCTCAGTAATCCAGGTCAGTCATTCCAAAAAAGTCTTTAAAAAAAAAACAATCCACTGGACTTTTTTTTCAAGTTTGAAGACGTTTACCTTCCTTCCAGGAAGCTTTTTCAATTCAAAATGTCAGGAATTACATTGAGTTCTAAGTTTTACAGAGCAGCTCAAAAACTTATTTTGGTCTCTTAGGAATCAGGGAGTCCTTTGTTTTTTTTTTTTTTACTTTTTTGGAAATCTAAAAAAATAGAAAATTCTTAAAATCTGCCTATTTGCTCTTAAATTGAGCATGTAAATAAGATGATCTTCCCTTAAAATACAACATTGACAAATTATCCACTTGAAATAAGATGTTGAAGTTGTTTTTGTTTTATTATCTTAAACGTAAATCATTTTACTTCATGGGTATCTTACATGTCTGCTCAAATAAAGATAAAATACATTTATTTCAAGAGGAAATTTTTTTGTAGTGTATGATTTTAGTACAGGGGCCAGGGCCAATACTACAGGGGTGTTGGCCCCTGTCTAGAAAAAGATGGCTGGTATCTTAATCATAAATTCCAGCTTAGTATCAAAATTTAGACAGCAGTTCCAGACCACTATACTAAGCACACATAAATAAGGTCATTCTGTTTTCTTGTATTTTTTTTTTTATATATAAAAATGCTGTATAGTGAGTTGGACCTGTCTGACCTGCTGGTTCCAGTCACCTGATGAGGGCCAATGAAGATGATCAGCTGTTTCTTTGCGGTTATGAATCAATATTTCCCAGCTGATATCAGGACATCCTGTGAATCACCCAGCAGGTGTCAGAAGGCGCTCCCCCTCATGCTGCTCTCTCTGACCCGCAGACCCCGCAGATCCCGCCCCCTCCCCGCCGTCTACCTGCGCTCTGCGCCGCGCGCTCGCAGCGGGAACCAGGCGCGTCTGCCTCCGCCAGCTGCTGCCTTCCCATGGATTTCGAGGCGAAGATTTTCCCTCGAACCGGAGGTTACGGACGCTACAACCGGGTGGCGGTCGTGTTCAGCTGGTTCCCGACCTTTGCAGTGGTGCTGAACTTCTACAGCGACGTTTTTTACACCCTAATGCCGAACACATACCACTGCAGGCCGGACCAGAGGCTGCTGCCTTCCTCTTTCATGCTCAGCAACTACTCCAAGCAGGGCTACATGAACCTCACCATCCCCTGGGTGAACGGCTCCGGCCTCAGCCACTGTCAGCTCTACAAGTATCCCGCAAACTTCTCCGACTTGTCCGGAAAAGTCCCGCGGGAGACGGTTCCCTGTACCAAAGGCTGGGAGTTCTCCTCTCTGGTGGGACTTCAGGGTAACATTGTCACAGAGGTAGGAGGCTGTTATCAGGTTTACTACTGCTGGTTGAAAGAAGAAAGAGTAAAAAACAAATACAAATAAACTTATTCTGTCTTTTATTATCAGTTTTGTTCTCAAAAGAAAAAACAAATTGGATCCTCAGGTTATGTAACCCAACAGATTAGATGATTGAATTCTTTTGTCCTGCTTCAGCAGAAGTGCACCAGTTTATCTCATGTGTCCTAAATTATGTCAGCTTCCAGTCAATATTTGCTCCTCAGGTTTAGGTTAAATGTTAAATCTATCCTTCCCACTCTCCTTTATGATCTGTGGAAAACTGCTTCTTATGAGTCAAGATGAATCTAGTAGAACATGCATGATTCTGAGGATTTAAAAGATCCCTGGACACAGACACCGTGTTTACTTTAAGTATGTGGCGTGCAACTTGTATAAACAACCAGGATCTTTATCTTTTTTTTGTTTTGCTACTTGATGCTGCACCCTTGTCTGCAAAAATTTGTGAGAACCGCTTAAAGCAGTGGCGGAGCTAGATGGGTGGGCCAGGGGTGGCCATGGCCACCTTTAGCCAATCTTTGGTCATGCCTACCATTTTTTCCCTCTAATACTCTCAAGTGGAATATTCAAAACATTTACATTTTTCATATGTTAACAATTAAAGATGATAAGTACAGAATTCCTGCTCTTTTCAGAACTAGATTTTGTGTTTTATGGGGTAAAGAGAAAATTGTGCATCTTTGGAGTCTTTGGTTAAGTCATAGATAAATTACTGTTTTAATAAAAACTTATTAAATAATCAGTTTATGTAGATATTAGCAGTTGTAATATTAATTTTATGCAGAAGGATTATTGATAAAAGTAGGGAAGTAATGACAATTGAAAAGATGTTCACCCCAAAACTCAAACCTGAAAGAATTTTATCCACTATACCTTTTATCTAGAAAGCATGGATGTTTAGATATAGTCATCTATTTGTTAGCAAAGGCTGTAGGAAACTATAGTTTGTCTTTATTTAGAAAATATGGATGTTTTGCTTGTTAACTTTCCTGTTGGAACAGTGTAGATTGACCCTGAGATTTTGGTGCCTATCTACTTCGGGCCACCCCTCAGTGTATATTGGTTATTGCCTGGCCACCCTTATAAAAATTTTCTGGCTACGCCTCTGGCTTAAAGGACTTAATGCAAACTGTTTTAATTTATGGTTATTGTATTGATCAAATTAAACTCCACAGAGCTTTCCCTGACAAGCACAAGAAGGTAATTACAAGTCGTTTCCGCCTACTGCTTGTTTCTCTAATCATTGGCTGAATCCCAAACCGCCCCTAAGCAGAAACCCTTAACTATCAATTGTCACTCCCAGTGAAGCCACACTCACAGCTCCGGAAGGCGCCCTTATTTTAGGCGGGGGTCATTAAGGAGTAGCAGCCTCCTCCCTCCCATGCAAAAGGAATGTAGTCGTTTCTATGGCAACAGAGTGATGCCACATGCTCCACAGCTCTGTGGGGGAGGTTGACATGACATAAAACCTTTAGCCCTTTCTTCAAAATAAATATATGCAATAAAGAAAAGCTCTTCAAAGAGGTCATTCCCCTTAGCGATTAATTATGGATTGTTTTTTTTTGTATTCTTAACTATTGATTTTCTGTCAGCAAACCAGCGATATATATATATTTGACTGCATGTTTTTCCTCTGATTTAGTTCACTGTTACACCCGCTGCCAAATTACAGGGAGCCTGCACTGATGCAGACTCGCTGTTTAGGGACTAAAAGGTCCGCTGGCCCTACAGAGAATGCGGTTTAGGACGGCCCTTAATGTGGAGGACCTTCCACGGTATCCGGCAAACGCAGGGTTAGTGCTCAGGGGAAGTGTTTAGGGGCCTGTTTATGATTCAGCCATTGTTTTTCTGTGATCTTCTGTAGGGCTTGGAAGTTGAAGCCCTCTTGTTCCCTTCCGGAGATCCTTAACCCCTCCCTCCCCAACAACAGCTTCCTGTGTCCGTTGTGTCATATGCAGGGACAAAGGGAAACCTTGAAGAACGGAAAAAAGTAGCACATAGCACAACATTGTTTAAAGCATGCATCCCACTGGGGAAAAAAATGTCACTGACGGAGACAGGAACGTTTCCATAGGAGTGGTCAGGCAGGCAGGGATCAATGTTCTGCTGTGGGGGTCGCCTAAAACTAATAGGATACAAAACCAGTTCAGGGTCAATCGACATTTTACCAACAGGAATTCAACATCTAAATAAATCACTGAAGACAGACAACATTTTTATGATCCCTCCCTAACACGTAAACCTACATTAATATTCATATTTAGACAGCATATTTACATTTATGCTGATAAATTTATCACAGTATAAACATCATAAAAATCACATAATCATACCCATTCAATTGGTTTACCTGTTGTTCTGAAAGTACATAAAAAAATGAGGACGAGTAAGACACAAGAATTTCCTTTATTCTCAATAAAACACAAGAACTAGTTCTAAAAATAGCTAAAATGTTGTTTTTTCATTTTAAATGGTCGTATATTTAAAAGAAAAAATAATTGCTGTTTTTATATTGTCAGTTTAAAGATCTTGATGTTAGCATAGTAGGACGGAGTCAGCGATTAAAAAATTCCACTTGTGAGTTTTACTTCCGCAAGCCCCTGGTATAGAGGGCAACTGCTTGTTCCAAAGATGGATTAATTACATCAACAAAGGGACAAGAGGTCACCTGAGGGGGTGAGCATGGCCACCGCAGGCCATTCTTTAGCTCCGCCCCTGATCGCTGTGATATTGTGCACTGCATCAGCAGCTCTATAAAGATCCACATGTATGGGGGTGTTTGTAGTAGTGTTGCACCGATATTGATACTTGTATCGGACGGGGCTCTGATCCAGCGCTAAAATGGTGGCATCGGTATCGGCAAGTACCAACAAATAGGGCACCAATACCATTTTGAGAGCCAAAAGTTTATTTAACTATTGTCACCCATTCCAGCTAGGCAATAAAATTCACTTTGTATTAGTCTTTTTCCTGCTTCACAAAGGTAGGCAGCAGCTTGATAAAGCCATGATGGCAATTATTTTACATCCATGTACTATGCAGTTCTTCATATACACACATCAGTTTCAAACAGAGGGTATCGGCATCGGCTGATACTGCACAGCCAGGTATCAGGGCAAAAAATGGCATTGGAGCAACACTAGTTTGTAGCTGTTCACAGAAAAAGAAGGTCTTGTAATCAAATCAAATTTTCATCCAAAAGTTAGAATTATAATTGAATTTAAACAATAGATTACATTATCTAGGGTATCCCTTAAAGAACAAATGTTCAGCTTTTAATTTTTTGCCAGTTATCATCATTAGATGGCAGTAACTTATACTCAGCACTCCTTTAAAGTCCTCATCATGTTTTGCAGTCAACTTTTGGCTTGATGTTGGACACTTTGAGTCGTATTTGTATTCATTCTCTTGTTTAATTGGTCAGAGTTCTGCTAAAGCAGATATATTTCAGGTTAGATCTGGTCTTTATGTTGCTTCTTTAAAATTCCACCATTTCTCTGTCCCTGCTAAAAAAAAACATCCTTGTTTTTATTAACGTTTTTCAGGCTGCACAGTATTAGATCAATCAAGCAATGGCAATAATTTTAAAACATTAAGAAGACAATATCAGTTTCTGCAAATATAAATTTCTTTTTTTTTCTCTTTCTAATGTTACATGTAGTTGAGATTTTAAGGTCGTTTTTTTCCTAGTATGTTTAATCTTGTTAGCGTAGAATTAGATGTAAAGTTACAGGGATTCAGTTGTATCCGTTCCACACTTTTGTGCGTATAATGGAGGAGGGCTGGAATTTAAAGAGACAAACTTTGCTGGCATTGGGTAGTACGAGTCAGGCGCCACTTTAAGCACGACTTCTTTATAATTTAATAACGCAGTCAGCAGGAATCCTAACTCGATAACAAACAGGATCCGCATTCCTGCTTCCCACAGACATTTTGGTCACAGCTTGCCAGATGTTCTCTGATAATTTTCATCAGGTCTATCACATGACAGCTTTTGATTAGCATTTTAATAGTTGCTCCCCTTATTGTCTGTGTTTGCCAGGAATTAAACGGGCTGTGATTGTTTTGTGACAAACTATTCATGCAGTATCTTGAGATAACTTACTAGACAGCACGCAAACATTTCCGCTTGTTTTTATCTCTGCATTGAGGCGTAATTACATGTTTGGTTTGTTTCCACCTCTGCAGTGGAATCTGGTTTGTGACAACTCCTGGAAGATCCCCCTGCAGCAGATCTGCTTCATGATGGGATGGATTGTGGGATATGTCTTTTTGGGTTCATTATGTGACTGGTAGGTACTGTTCCACAAAAATGAAAAATACAAAAATAATTAAAAATCATCTATGTCATAGAGTTTGGTCACTTTTAAATTCATTTATTTGCATTGTGATTGGTTTCCAGGTTGGGACGTCGCCGTGGTTTCCTCCTCTCCATCAGCTTGTCCAGTCTCTTTGGGGTGGCGGTGTGTCTATCCAACAGTGTGGTGGTGTTTCTGCTGCTGCGTCTTTGCCAAGGTGCCATGCTCGCTGGAGTGTTTGTCTCTTCCTATATTCTCAGTAAGTTTGACTCATTTATTCAGTATTCATTACATTAGTCATTGGCCGTTTCTCAATTCACAAGAATGCAAGTACGGACACAAGTCCATAGTCCCGTTCTCCCCAAGTCTGGACTTGGGGAGCACGGGAGCTTGCTGCAGAAATATGGGTTATTTAGTTCAGAAGCGTACTCGTGACGTCACCACATGCTCACCTCGTCAGCTGCTTTTCACCTCCTATTATTAACAGTCTCTAAATAATAATAAATTTTTACTTTTTTCATTTATTTAGGAAATAATAATTAACACAGTCAGATAAACACAAATCAAATGAACATTTTGCCAAATAAAACAAAAAACTTGCCATCAGAGCAAGCGGTTCTTCACATACGACTATGCCGAGACAGGGCTGCAGCAGATGGGCTGTGGTTAGCCCTGTCTGCCATTAGCCTCGGAGCCCCGCTGGTTGCCACGGCCCTCTGAACTTCGTAATTTCTTTTTCAAAAAACGCATTAAATCAGATTAAAATGGACCATATAGTGATGCTTAAAAGTATAATGTTCTCGCCTCAAATGATCTTAAAATGTACTTTTATTGAACAACAGCAACAGAAAAGAGAACTTTTAACTTAATACTCTGAGCTCTGTGAGCGCTCCACTGAAATCTGCTGCTGCCGCAGTGCATGCTGGGACAGCTGTCAATCTCTAGAATGGACAAGTCTGCTCTGATGCACCCTCTGTAAGTTGGGAGGGGCGAGAACAACATTCGGGGACTCTGTCCGTTCTCGGTCTTCTTGTTCTTGTGAATTGGCACAGTACTAGGGTTGAGGCCCAGGACGATTCACGAGCACATGAGATAGCAGAAGTATACATATTGTGTTTTTTCTTGGGATCATTCTCCTGTTGAACACTGTTTGTTGTAGTTCCATTTAGCCGGATGATCAGTAAGCTGTTTTTTTGTTGTTTTTTTTGAGGATGAAGGTTTGGACCAGAAGGTTGAGACTTGGATGCAGTTTGATGTCCATAATTTAAAAATTATCTCAATTCCATTCTGGTTTAGGAATGGACAAATCTATGCCTCTGGAGTGTACCTCCTAAATAAACTGTGTTTAAAAACATATAGACGGTGCTTAAACATCGTTATTTCTGCTAAAACCTATGACTCTGCAGCCAGCTTCAGCACCATGACTGGTCAATTTAACTCTTTCAAACAACTTAATGTAACATTAAGTTTGTTTTAGTATTTAACAAAGGAACTAAGCAAATAAAAACCTAAAGTGATGAGAGAAAATCCTGCTAGCACATACTAAACCTTCTTATCAATCTTATCTGATGTTCAATTCAGGGGGCACAAATATAAACACAACACATCGTGCTTCTGTCAAACAGTAAACAATCCATTAAATGAGAAAGTTTAGTTAAATGATTTTAAGTAACAAAAAATGCTACTATTCTTGTATGAAATATAAGATAAATGCAGTTTTATGGTCCATCTGCAGCTCATCTCATTGAATAAATCTGATACCTAAGCAGCATCTCAGACATAGAACAGTAGATCTGTAGGATAATCGCCAGTATGCCCCTTTCTCTGTCGTCTTGTCCACCATGACTTCATAACAAAGATCTTCTCTGTGTGATTTGCTTCACTAATAGACTAAAAGGTTTCAATTAAACCCACCCGTCAAACCAATAGAAAGATGATTGAATTAGGACTAAAATCATAGGGTGGATGCAGTGAATATGACGCACTCACACATGACCTGGGGATTTTCCTTAACGTTGTTAAACCTGTTTGTGTTGATCATTTTCTTGCCATTAGTTACCTTAAAATAAACATGGCTGTTAAATAAACCTGTGAATATACACCTTTAGTTTTGACTAAACCTATATCATGTAAATGAATAAGAAATGCTAAAATGAATCATGAAACAACAGCTGGTTTTCCAAACACACAATGTTTTAAGACTGGCTTCATTAGGTTTCGTGCTGTTTAAAAAGAGGGAATAGATTAGATTTTATAAATAAAGGTTAAAATACAGACAGTCATTGTACAAAGAGACTAAACTAAGAAGTAACATAACAAGTTTCCCTACATAAAGATCTTAGATAAATAAATAAAAGCCTCAAATGTATTAAGTGCTGTGCCTTTGCCAGTATGAGATTCTTATTTAATGATGGGGTTGTTTAAAACATACCATTCTGACTGCATCATGAATCCTGGTTGCACAAAAAAATGAAAGAAAAACATAACATTTTTAACTAAAACAGATCACCAAACATCACTCCCCAAATCAACGTAAAAGAAAAAAAACTAATTATAATGGTATCATTATAATGTGGTATTATCACTTTTGATTTTCACACATTTGATAAGTCATGTACTGTCAAATTGGTGACATAAAATTGTCTTTTGTTTTTAGGATGATAAGGAATTATTCTCAAAATATGGAGCCTTTAGTAATTGGAGTTTCTACTCTTTTATAAAGTAACACAAACATAACGAGCTGATCTTTTAATTTGTTGGACAAGCTGCTGTCCTGCAGCAAGTCCTCAGTCTGTTGCCTCTCTTTCCCCAACAGCAGTTTTAAATTGGTGTCACCTTAAATAACAGTAAGGAACTCGTACCATGATCTCTTGTGTTTTTATTTTAAATTTTGATTATAGGCAGTGGGGAAACAATACATTACTCCATTCTCTGTAGATCTGCAGAAAACCCAGAAGATATTGGTGCAACATTTCCTGTTTGTGACAGGAAAACCTTTTAAACCTTTTTTAACCTTGCACCCATTACCTTAATGACATGTCGGTGGGATATATCTAATATCTCAGCCTCTGTATATTATTATTAATATTTGTTTTTCTTGGTTTATTTTCTCAAATGCTTTAAAAACAATGAAAAAAGCCTGATGGTAGTTTGCAGTGACCATCAGGTGGATGGAAAAAAGAATTTGGCCTTTTTCACCATCTAAATATTTGAAATTTTAAACTTGCAAACCAAAGAAAACCATTGGTCTCATAAAGTATTGGGAGTGGCAGCATCATATTATTGATTTCCAACATTCCAAGGCGTTTTAGTTGTCTCCTGGTGGCTATGAGAATCCTTAGTTTGCTGTTTCCTCCTCTACTGTGCCTTCTGAGGCGCGTTTAGAGTTTTAATCTGTTATAGAAGTCATCATCTTTATAGCTTCAGCTTTCTAAGCTGGAGCAATTTGTCTCAGTCCATCATCTTGGTTTTGTAACAAGTGATTGTCAGAAAAATCAATACAACCTTATCTGTCATCAGGGTCCTGATCAGACACAAACATTGTTAATCTGTTACATTCAGACAAAACCTCAGATCTTCTGAACATGTAGCCTCTAAGGGTTCAACATAACATTAAAGACTCAGGATTTTTCTTGGTAGAAAGATGTAATGCTTCATATTGAAATGTTGGATAACCGTTAAGCCTATTTCTTATCTGCCTTTGACATACTCCCACATTCCTGTAGGGTCAGAGCTCATCTGTTCCAGATGAGCTTCATTTTTTCAAACTGACGTCAGGTCATGGTGGTCTCAGGAGCGCAGAGGGGAAAGTTTCCTCTATGATGATCTTCCTAAGCAGCTTCCTCACAAATAGCAGACTACAATAACAGGACAGGACAACAGGCAGGGGTGGAAGCTGGGAATGAGAGCCTCCCAAACCCCCCACACACGGCGTGGGAGCTGGGAGGAAGAAGGCTAATGTTCAGTAGAGACATACACATCCCTCAGTTACCTTCATTTAGCCCGTAGAATATGGTTAACTCATGGTAAAATGTTTATTTTTGCCCCCAAAATTGGGATTTTTCAAAAAATCCACTCAGAGCTGCAAGGATAGAGAGGTGGCTTAACATGTGAAGAGTTTCAAAAGCAATTTTTTTTTAGATAAACCCCTTGTTGTGATGCATTACCTTTAAGAATCACAATGAGTAGCTATCAAAAGAGAAAATCTGCCCAATAAAACCCGGAATGATGGTGCCGCTCTTAGAGCATTATACTGCTTAATATGGCAGGAAATGTTCAAATTTTTCTGTGCAAATGAGGGGAAACAGGCTTTCCTGACTGGAGCGATATTTGCTCCACACAGATATGTTTTATTTGCGGATGCTTTGGTTGACTCTCATTCATCCTCTCTGTTTACCGCCTTTCTCCGTCTCAGGGTTGGAGCTGTCTGACCCTCCCCATCGCCTCATGGTTGCCATGATCGGCGGCTTCTTCACAGTCTCTGCGGAGCTGCTGTTGCCAGGCTTTGCCGCTCTCTGTCATGATTGGCCAATTCTCCAGGCTGTGACCACTTTGCCTCTGCTTCTGCTACTCTCCTATTGGTGGTGAGTCCTGATCAGAGCAAATGCTTTTATTTCCCAGCTTGATGCTGATGATGAAGGTTTTTAAGTTCTTCAAAACTCTCAGTTAATTCCACAAAGTCCTGAAGAAGAAAATCCCTCATTATTTCAGTCTTTAACAATGCCTTTAGATTAGATCATTATTGAATTTCAGAAATACAGCAGGGACATCCAAGCATTTAAAAACAAGGTTTAGGAATTTGTATTCATCAAAGGTTTCAACGGCTTTATTTAGATTGATTATAGTGTTGACTTGTTGGGAGATAATTGTTTGAACACCAGTTATCTCCCTACAAAATAATAACAGAGTTGTTTTCCTCAGCTGTGCATCAGTTTTTCCTGAGTCTCCTCGCTGGCTGCTGGCCACAGATCACATTCCCCAGGCCAAGAGGAGCCTGCAGGAGTTCACCACCAGGAATGGCGTTTGTCTCCAGGAAGAGATGTATCCTGGGGAAACCCTGTTATCCGGTAACACATCTATATGTGCAGCTCGGTTTGTTTGTTTCTTTCTTGCTTTGGGTTATGTCAATGTTTTGAGAGGAATAAAGGAAAGAATTTAGGTCCTCCATTTTCAAATATGCTTAAATACTTTAGCTAATTAATCCAAGATGTGTAGCAATGATCAAAATGCAGTTTTTTTTTTTTTTTTTAATCAGACCTAAGTGGAGCTGTGTATGGAAGTATGGAAGGCTCATTTTCACACAAGCCCATGCAGCTGGTTCAAAACTTTTCATTCTATTTCATCAGTGTTTTTTTATTTTTCATTTTCATTAATTAAACATTTTAATATGTTAATCTACAGCTTTTTTATGTTTAAAGCTCTATTAAACATTTATACAACACATTTATATGATGTAGTCTTCGCAGAGTTTGTAGTTTTAAAATATTCACCACACCTTATGTTGTTTCAGAAGCTTTTCTGAATTAAAATTATGCGCCAAACTGTATTTCCTAGAGTAACCACCAGATGGCGACTACTCGTGCAGAACTCAGTTATGTGGCAGTTTTCTCACTTGATTATTGATATGAATGGACACTTTTTTATTTTAAGGTTCAACATGATTGTCAGCAGGGCTCTGTTTTCATTCATATTATTATTATCATCATTATTATTTTGACAGTAGTATAATTAACTAATACCATGAAGAAAAAGCATCAGTTTCAGACAATTTTTCCTTATGTTTTTTTCCAGTATACTCCTCATATTACTTACGATTTTGACACATGTACATAGTATGTAATTATTTTTTTTATATCTTTTGCTTTGTGATTTGTTTAGAAGAGACATTTTGAACAAATGAATAAAAAATTATATTTCAAAAACATATTAACAATGATTAAAATAATAATAGTTTTGACCCTTTATGCATTGATTCCCCTCAAAAAAAGCTTATGAACTGAATTTAAATTATTTTTTTTAAGAAATAGATTCTGCATATGGAGAAGACCTCCAGCCAAGGTACTATTCAGTCCTGGAGCTACGACAGACCCGTGTTATCTGGAAGAACTGTCTCATTCTCAGCTTCACTCTGTGAGTTCTTTCTTTTCCACAAATCTTTGGTTTTAAATGTCTGCCTTCCATAAAGTTTTGATTTATCACCAATTATTGGACCTGGTCAGTTTTCCCTTTATACACCTGGGGACAAAATTGTTAGTATCACTCGTTTAATGAATGAAAAAACCCAAAATAACTTTATTCTCACAAAGGCAATAATAAAAATTCAATGAATAGGAATAAATGCCTATATTTTTCTTCTGTGAACATGGAGCTAATGTGTATTGGCAAAAAGTTCTATTCTGTCTCGTATTACTATTGTGAATTTCTCATTTTCTTTAATGGGAGGGTGTCTAAACTGTCAAGCACAACTGTGTCTGCAAATACAGTCACAGGGACTACATTTTGCTTGGAGATGGTCTTAGACTTAGACAGATGTATTTGTCATTTTGTATACACAAGTGTAAAACAAAAAGAAATTTCGTTAAGAACAGCTCTCTAGACAATTTCATTTTTTAAAGTGCAGCCTTGAGAAATAGTAAAAAAAATATATATAAAAACAGTAATATAAACATATGACTGTAAATTTACAGTTCTAACATTTCAGTTTTTTTATAATGATAAAATACAATAAAATAACCCATTTTACAAAACATCAGCAGTCTAATGGGAGTGGGGAAGATAGGCTTTACCTATACTTATAGACTTTACCTATAGGTAAAGTCTATAAGTATAGGTAACTAGGTAGTATATATACCTCACTTATAGGCTTTACCTTTAACATTCTTGTCTATAATTTCTATTTCTTCTGAATAAATTTTTTTTTATTCACAAAACTATGACAAAAATCTCCAGACTAAAAAAGGGAATAAAACAATGTGACTGGATGTAAGGAGAGCAGAGACAGAGGACACTCTTGAGTTTACTAAAGAAAACCTGCTACCGACCAGGTTAGCTTTGGGGAGTATGTTACTACGGTAACGGAAACAAAGGCTGAGTAAACTCTCTTTCTAAAATGTAAAACTCAGTTTCCCTGATTTCAGGTTTAGATACCTTAGAGTTTTCGGTAAACCTGCTTTGTGAAATAGATCCCAGGCCTGTTCCATGAGCTTATTTTGGTTAAACCATTTTGTTGAGTTATGGTTGAAAAGCAAGGTTTGACTTTCATTTATTCATTTTAGATTAGATTTTTAGTTATCACACTCAAGTTATTTCTGTGACCTTTGTAGGTTTTTCTGTCATTAAACAAGAGCTACCAACAATGTTGTCCACATGTGTAGGATCATCTCAGCCAAAGACTAACAAAAGTTAGCTATTAAATGCACCAAATCTAGAAACTCCAAAACTTTTCTGTTTTTTGAATACATCAAAAAAATAAATTCGACATAAAAATAAGGTAGTATGGGTAAAATCCTTGACACAAATATGGGTATAATCAAATTTCTTAAATTTCTCCTGGAAATAAAACTGATATCTGAAAGCTCTGTGGCATATATTTTCCCTCTTGTGTGTTGTAGTAAAATAAAATTAGTAGCTTTTAGGTCCTACTAAGCTGGAATCTGTGCAACAGAGAAAGATATATGTTAGACTAACTTTAAATAGGTTGTGATAAAATAACATAAATGTAATTTTTTATTCCATAATCCTGGAATAAATCACTTTTAAGCTGCAGTAACATTTGGTTTTCAAGATGTTGATCTACTTTTCACTTTCTCTACCCTGCAGGTTTATTGGAACAGGCATCCAGTACTGCTTCACCAGAAACCTGCACTTATACTCCAACAACTTTTACTTCATGTACTTCCTCCGTGTGATAACAGGAGCCCTGGCTTGTGTCTTCATCTGCATGTCTGTTAATCACTTTGGTCGGCGTGGAATGCTCCTGCTCTCCGCCATCATCACTGGGCTCTCCTCGCTGCTGCTGCTTGCTCTCACGCAGTGTATGTCCACTGTCTGACATTTACTCTACTGTTTGACTTAGAAATAATAGGGTCGGTCCAGTATAGTGAAAGCAGAAGGATTTAAATGCGGTGACTCAGTATTTTGGTCTTACATGCTTTTAAAGAACGTCTCCTCGAACACAGAAATGTGAGATTTCCTCCTTTGCAAAAAGTCAAATTACTTCTTAATCTAGGAAGGAGAACTTGCTTACTAAATTCAAAGACATTTTGTCAGTTAGCTTTTTGCTCCTGTTGTTGTCAGATCTCAAAGGCGGTCTGGTGTTGGTCCTCTCTGTGGTGGGTTTGCTGTTCTCTCAGGCTCTCGCCATGCTCAGCGCCTTCTTCGCCTGTGAGGTCATGCCGACTGTGGTTCGGTGAGTGTCTTTGTTTTAGATTTAACCAATATAGCTGTCAGGTCATGTTGGTCTGACGGTATATCCTGTTCAGTGGTTGTAAATTTTGGGGTCATAATTTGAGAGGAAGGTTTCTTTGGCCTGTGGCTCATGCTGTTTCATTCCTTCCATCTCTATACCAGCGGTGGCTGTTTCGGACTGGTGATGGCAGCTGGCTGCATTGGCATGGCGGCCTCCTCCCTGATGGAGCTTCAGAATAACAGCGGCTACTTCCTGCACCACGTAATCTTCGCCTCATTCGCCGTCCTGTCTGTGCTCTGCATTATGCTCTTGCCTGAAAGCAAACGCAAGTCGCTCCCGGACTCCCTGAAGGAGGGCGAGAACCAGAGACGACCTCCTCTCTTCCTGTCCCAACCAGACAGGGACAGTCTGCCTCTGCTGTGCACGCGGCCTCCAGCGTCTGAGTACAATCCTGATAACTATTCCCGCTTGGTTTCTGCCACCAGGAAGATGTTGTCCAAGGATAATTTGCCATACAGGATTGCTGGGCCCACTGTTCCACCCCTGCTATCAGACAGCAACACACAGGAGCAGGAAAATGAAACACAGAGCGAGGTTGCATCATAAACCTGTGAGCAACCTCCTACTGCAGACTGATTCAGACTTTTTCTCCAGGCCTCTTCCAAAGATACCTCAGGTGGAAAACTCATCTAAAGTACTGACCTCATAGCACCTTATTTCCGTCTCTTGCTAAATAAGATTTAGGCACTTCTTATATTTGGTGGTTCAGGACATTTAGCTGAAGCCTTTGGTCATCCAACCTGCAGTTCGTATTTCAAGAGCTCTCACTGGGCTTTAAAAATCTACATCCTGTCTGTTGTTACCTAGAAAAATATTTTTAAAGGATTAGTTTTTTGAAAAACGGGATTATATGCAGTATGTCAATATCAGTATGTGAGACATTCGAGAAAAAATCTAATCTGAGCTGGATGCTCATCCATGAGCAAGTCTCCAATGTGAAATTTGTTTTCTTTTCATCTGTAGATCCTGTTACTGCCAAACTCTTACCTGAAACTACTGCCTTCTTATATTTTAATTTATATAGATATCTTCATATGTCTGAGGAAAAAGCCACATTTCAGCCATTGAAGTTGTGTTTAGAATATACTGAGTTGCAGTTTCCATCAGCCGCACTGCATTGCTGTATTATTGGAAAATAAAAATGTACAGAAACAAATCTATATTAATAAAATTATGAGGTCTGAACATATTTAATTTGCATGAGCTGCTATGAAAGAGGGAGTTGAATATAAATTTCAAACAATTGTAATAAAAAAACTGCCCATTCTCTAATGTTAATTTGTCTCACTGTGTTTTTTTTTTTTGCTCATTCTGGATGACTACTCTGTGCTGCAGCGAAGATATGAGGGAATTAGAAAAGAGTTAATCATTTAAGTAGTCTGATCTCTGGCTGCTCATTGGAGCACAGGTGTTTTAACTTCACACAAGCAGGAAATGAAGATGCATGTTAAGAAAAAGGCAGCTTTTAGAAAGAGAATACTTATTTTGTATTACACATAATTACTTAAAAAGTTAATTTAAAGCTCCATAAAGGTTAAATAAAAGCTTTCTTAAGCACCATGTACTGTTTGCTAATAAAAAAAAGTTAAAAAGTAGCCATTTTGAACACTTGAGACCGTCAATAAAACCTTAGTTACTATATTTTTGTGCTTTGCTATCATTTAATTATATCTTATTAAATGATCTTCCTCAGCCACTATTTTGTGTTTTATGTATGTCTAGCATTGTTAATGCTAATATTTATGTGTTTCATTGTAGTGTGAGTTAAATAGAAAAAAAAGCAAAGTGATGGTAAATTAATTTATTTTGGAAGGTGTGCCAACCATGCATCATTTACTTTTTTCTTTTATCCTCCCAAAATTAACAACTGTATGTTGAAAAGAAAGGAATGGAACTAATCAACTATATCGACGGCGATGCTTAAATTATTTGGGATTTTAGAATACCAGATTTCACTGTAGTGCATTTATTATAAAAAGGGTTATAATTGCTTATGTTTAAAAGTAAATGCTGGGAGGCTAAGATATATCTTAGAATCTTGAATGGGCCTATTTAAAAAAAAAAACATAAGCCTTTCCCTTATGTGTTTTATGATTTGAAATGAGAAAACACAAACTTGGTTCTCATAAAATGTCCTTCCGTAAAACCATTTTAATTTCTTCTCCAGTGATTAATCAGTGATGCCTTTGCAAAAAAAAAAAGCTCATACAGCTGATTGTAGTTTGTTAATTTCTGTGCTTTATTGTCCAGTAAAAACAAACCTGCCAAGTGGTTCATATAACTTGTATTGTAGTTGCTATTTGAGAACACTAGATGGAGCCATTTGTTCACATGAGAACTCTTTCATTTAATGGATTAACTGTTATGTCTGATAAACTCCCTGAGAATAGAAAAAGAAAAACAAACACTTGTCTATAATAAGCAGACTGATCCTTTGATTATTTCATGGTGGATGGGAAGTCAGAGCTTTAGCTTTGAGCATTAGTTAAGTAACTCATATGTCTCATAGAACAGATGAAGATGAAGCAACAAACAGAACAGAGAATAGAGCAAAAAATCACTACTGCAAAGAAACAAGGGCTTTAATTTCTGATGTTCAAGATTTGCTGTTTTAATGAACTGGCTCTGCTGAGGAGCTTATTAAGCTCTCAGTGTTATAACAGCCTGTAAAGCAAATGTGAGCAGAAGGGTCAGTTTGCTGAGTGAATGAACAGCTCCTGAGTTGGGGTCAGAGTAGCCATAGCTTGTCCTGCAGGGGTTCATCACATCCTCGTATGGAATAGGAACGTCATCTGGGAGGTTAGCAGACATACTTGTACTGACCTGAAATAGGCAAAAACAACTCATGAGTGTTCATTTTGAATTCACATGAATCAGCACTAACTAGTTTAACTATTTAGACCTTCCACAAATCTGTCATTTATTGGAAAGCTGCAGTCAGAGACCCATACTATGGAGGGCCATTTCAGCCAAAATTAAATAAATAAATGGGTGAAATAAATAAAAAATGAGTAAAATAAATTAAAAAAATGAAGAAAATGAGTGAAATTAATAAAAATTAAAAATAATTTAGCTTTTTCATTAAACCAATTTTTTTTTTTTTTCATATTATCAATTTCCCAATTTCTCTTTTTCATTTATCTATTTGTCATTTATCCCTTTATCCATTTACCCATTTTTCATTAATCTAATCTATTTAGAGGACACAGCAAATGTGTGGAGAATATGGAAGAGGAT